TTGTTATGTATTTTTATTTTGTAATACCTTTTGGAGACCTTCGAGATGTATATATATACCTAATCTATTGTACAAAAAAAAGCATAGAAATAACATTTTTTTTAGATTTCCTCCATTATTTTATTTTCTGCACAGACATTCTATTACAAAAGAATACTAATTAAATTGGATAGAAAATAGTGATTCAAAATAAATTAAAAAGAAAAATTAATTTTATTTCAGACAATTTGGTTAGAAGCATAACAAAGTACCATTAGCATCAATCTGACTATGATGCCATTGAAGCTGGGTATGATGGAACGTCAAGTTAGAACCCTCCGACTTTCGCCGGGTTGCAGCTGCTTTAACATGAACAAATTTGTTTAGACCATATCTGCCACGTTTTTTTTGGAACGGTGGCCTCCTTTCCACGAACTTTCTTGCATTTGCGAGGATAATGCTTTGATGAAAACCTTTGGGTTGACACTGAATAGCAGGCACCCATGATAAATAATCACGTACCAATGCTCAAGGAAACTTGGACAATTTTGAGCACTGCCAGAGAGGCAGTGACAACTAGACAAGCTCAGAGTCGACGAGATGTTTGCATGTGCTTAACAGATAACAGAGCTCCAGACCTGGCAGACCTGTTGCTGTAAAGTGAAACAATCTTTCCATTTGAAGTCTCAAGAAACGAGAGTAAATAATTGACAGCTGAGTAGAATCTAACACCATCATGCAGAGGAAGAAAACTGAAAAAATAACAGTTGAAAACTTGAGATGTTTTTCTTGGTATTGCAAACTAGAAAAACTGAAGCCTGACTAAAGTGAAAGTACTGCAGTTAGAAACAAAGAAATCCATTAGTATATAGCCATGTTTCCTGGTAGTAATCATCATCATCAACCTTAACTCCCAACTAATTTAAGTTCGCTTTATAATCCTTTGTTACCATTGGTTCCTGACTTCAGAATAACTTATTCTTATTCTAATTCAACTAAGGGTCTGTTCGAGGCAACTGCAGTTTATTAAAAAACAGTTGTGAAGCTGTTGAATAATAATTTGAAACTAAAAAACTGCGGTGGCTATAACAAAATTTTTCTAAAAGGTCGGACTGCAACTAAAAAGTTTCCACCACACCTAGCCAGAAGTGGTGGGAAAGTGCATATTTCAGTGACGGTTTTTTTAAAAAGTTGGGAAAGTGCATATTTCAGTGACCGGAAATTTGCAAGACTTAGTTGATTGAAATTTGCAAGCAACTAAGTAAGACTTAGGATTCATTTGGGGCAGCGGTGAGGTAGCGGTGCGACACTGCTGATTGAAATGAAGTGTTGGCATATATAAAGTAATAAAATATCCTGTTGCTGTAAAGTGAAACAATCTTTCCATTTGAAGTCTCAAGAAACGAGAGTAAATAATTGACAGCTGAGTAGAATCTAACACCATCATGCAGAGGAAGAAAACTGAAAAAATAACAGTTGAAAACTTGAGATGTTTTTCTTGGTATTGCAAACTAGAAAAACTGAAGCCTGACTAAAGTGAAAGTACTGCAGTTAGAAACAAAGAAATCCATTAGTATATAGCCATGTTTCCTGGTAGTAATCATCATCATCAACCTTAACTCCCAACTAATTTAAGTTCGCTTTATAATCCTTTGTTACCATTGGTTCCTGACTTCAGAATAACTTATTCTTATTCTAATTCAACTAAGGGTCTGTTCGAGGCAACTGCAGTTTATTAAAAAACAGTTGTGAAGCTGTTGAATAATAATTTGAAACTAAAAAACTGCGGTGGCTATAACAAAATTTTTCTAAAAGGTCGGACTGCAACTAGAAAGTTTCCACCACACCTAGCCAGAAGTGATGGGAAAGTGCATATTTCAGTGACGGTTTTTTGAAAAAGTTGGGAAAGTGCATATTTCAGTGACAGGAAATTTGCAAGACTTAGTTGATTGAAATTTGCAAGCAACTAAGTAAGACTTAGGATTCATTTGGGGCAGCAGTGAGGTAGCGGTGCGACACTGCTGATTGATGAGAGTACCATGTTTAGTTAAGGGAAATAAAGTAAACATCTATTCTGCTGATTGATATTATTAGCTTGTTGTGATTATGTGTAGCTATGACCATCACTTATGTTGTTCTCAGTATGAACTGACTTCTTGTGATTTTTTGTAGTTATATTCATGAATATTAAAGGGTTTGTTTGTTTGATGGTGTTAATTTGTCCTTTAATCTATATTTGTACATTATGTGCAACTTTGATTGGAAGCATGTAGGTTCTACAAGTTAGAAAGTGCAATCAGCCTTCCTTTTCAATGTATCTACAGCTTCTCTAAGCAACATTGTTTGCAGTTCATCCTCTTTAAATCCGTATGATAAAATAAATTGTGAAGACTTAGATCTCAATGAAGCTTCCTTTTTACTAAAAGCAAGTCATTATCATATTGACAAGATTGGCTATGTAATGCTCAAATGCACATATGCAAAAAAAAAAAAAAAAAATTATGTTCTCCAAATTAATAAAATGTAAAATTAATTTCTACTTCTTTTTTGTGTTGTAAACATAATGTCTTTAGTAAATGGAGTTCAAAATTATTTGGTATTGCTTTGTTGGCATCAGTTCATATCTCTACAATCACAAAAACTTATGTTGGACAATATATTATGCATATTATATTTCGCTCTAAATTTTGTGTTTTTTTTTAGTCATTGACACTCACCATATACAACCTGCAAGTTAAAACACATTTATTTGACTTCGTCTTATAGTCTCTTTAGCAATATAATTGAGTGATAGTTACCAAAAATCATGAAAAATTACTTCTCTTGCAAAAAAATTTATTTTGACCCATACATACCACTTAATTCTTTTGTCTTTACATGTCTACTACCTGAATATTAATTTACAAATCTATAACCTAAGCAAACCACACAAGTTTATAAACATGCACTGATTCAAACATAAATAAGATAACATAAACTTTACTCAATTACAAATCATTTCAAAAGGCTACAAAGAGTTCTCAAGAACATCTATATACAAAGAGGAACCACATATTCTAGTTTTCATCAAAACATAATTTAGTTTACAAAAGTTCATACTTTAAAGTACTTTGACATCTTAAAAAAAAAAAATATCAATAATAACAACTGTGTTCTTTCAACAAACTACAACAAAATTATCAAAACTAAAAGGGCACAAATACTACAAACAACATAAGAATTTTTACAAAGTGTAATAGAATTAATATTTTAAACAAGAACTTCAAGCCACAATTATGCCTTTATAACATACTGCCGATCATATAATCAGATCATCTATTTCATTTATCCATATAAATTAGTCATAATAATTCTTTGTAAAGTGGTAAACATCACACATTGTAAGTAGTAGTAAAAAAAAATTCACGACGTCTGATGCCATTTGAGCTTGAAGATTGTGCTGAATTTATTTCTTCAATACAATGACAGTAAACATGATAAAGAAGAATAACACAAGTTTTTGATAAGACAAACAATATATTCATTTACAATAACTTAAAAGAGAACTTTGTTTTTCACCTCAACAATCTCATTGACGGACAAAAATGCTCAGTTTTTTTTTTCTCCCATCACGATTAATGTGCATTAATTCAATAAAGAAACTTTATAATTGCTTTTATTTTTTGGCTTACCTACAGATAACATGTGAAGATAAAAGAACTTATTTTGATAATATTATTATGTTGTCTTTTGAGTAAATATATAAACAAAGAAACAATCAAAATATCCAAAATTAAAATAGGCAACATCATTCACTATAACTATAGAAGCCCAATCGATAAACAATGTTGATAGAGGACAAAATTGATAGTAGAGTTCAAGAAAAATTCATGAGTTTAAGAAGTCATCACAATGGAAGATGTAAAGAGAATCGCCACTTCAGACAGAAGTGGGAGGTAGCCCACCAGGCGTTTAAAGCCCGCGACTTGAGAAAATTATTGTATCCGTACAGAGAAAAATTGCAACGTGGTAAGTGGGCTCCACATCTTTATAAAAATCATCGATAACCTGTGTATTACAGTAGGATCTATTTGCCACGTGATAAGTTTTCACTGGACTCGGGGCACAAATTTGCGTCCGGTGTATGAATGTAATTATCCCTCCGTGACTTGAGGTAGACGAGGGAGCTGAAATTTTAACACCGAGCACGGAAGAGGGAGGATGCTCAACATAAAAGAGGCTGAAGGAGAGTTAAATTTCCAACCCTAAATGAAGAGAAAAAAGCTTAAAAAGAATCACCTGGATATAAATTTGTTCTTTCGAAACCACAATAATTAATAAATAATCTTCAGGAAAAGTGTTAAAAAAAAATGAACCCACCTCTTGCAGGGGTGTAAACGAGCCGAACACGCGCAAGCCCAGACTCAGCTCGTGTTCGACTCTTTTATATTTCGATCTCAAAAAGTGTGTTCGTGTTCGATTCGTTTGCTTAGCTAACTGAACACAAGTTGTTCTCAAATAAAAAGTCGTTTTGATAACCCTATTCACATAACCATAAGATGTTAAGGGTTGAGGTAAGATTTAAAAATTGTTGTTTGTATTAAAACTTCATTCGAATCAAATTTAATAATTTTTATTCTATTTTCTTAATTAATATTTTTAATTGATTATAAATATATATACATATAATCGATGAGTAGTATTTCGAGTCAAAATAAGTCTAACACAAATGAACAAAATTTTGCTCTTGTTCTGCTCGTTACCATGATGAATATGTTAAATACGAGCTTCTTAACGAGTCGAACAAAAATTATTCTGAAACAATGAGCTCTTTTGATAGCCCTAACCTTCCCATTTTGCTCTTGTTCTGCTCGTTACCATGATGAATGCGTTAAGTACGAGTTTCTTAACGAGTCGAACAAAAATTATTCCGAAACAATGAGCTCTTTTGATAGCCCTAACCTTCCCAACGAACTCCACGTGTCAAAAGCTTTAACACGCACCCACATATTAAGGGTCAAGTATTTCTCAGTCAACATCTCTCCCGCTGCTGTTCCTTTCGCTAGCAGTGTACTGCTGAGATAATTAATTCGGAAGATCCAAATGGACACTGCACCATCCGGTGAATTCCCAAACTTGAAACCCTAGCGAACTTTTGTTCTGCCTCGGATCTCCATCCTCCGATCTCGCTTTCGGTGATCTCCAGATAAAGAGGACGGCGACGATCACCGCAAGCAGATCTGGAGAAGGATGGCGCTGTTCAGGAGGCTGTTCTACCGGAAGCCGCCAGATCGGCTACTCGAGATCTCCGACAGGGTCTATGGTAATGCACGTGCTTCGGTTTTGGTTATGGTATACCGGTTGGATTGAAGAGGCTGCCTTGTGATTTACTGGTGTTTTTTTATGTTTTGGCATGATTGCCGGATTTTTTTGCGATTGGTGTTGGCTGGAGGCTGTGAGTTTTACTTTTGGAGTTTTGGAGCCAAAGAGGGGTTTGTAGATCCTATATTGCTGATGAAAACCTTGTTGGGTTGATTAAAGTGAATTCGGCTATTTAGCTTTCAATATTTATTGTTGATTAACGTTAGTAAAATGAAGTGACCCGTATATGTAGACTGGGATCAGGTATTAAGCTGTCGAGTTGAGTTTATTGAAACTCGAATTCGTTTGTTTTTTAAATTGTTTAAAATTTTAGTTTTCATACTTCTTATTCGTTCGATTTGTCATCTATGACTTTAGGTTGTCCTATCCCGGAAGCTTTGTTTTCTTCCCTTTTATTTTTTGGAGGGCCGTCCTGTTTAATTTTTTGGACAGCCATTCTGTTTAAATTGCATCAACGAGTTTAATATTTGGATTTGCTAAGTTGAAATTTTTCTGTTTCATCTTTTATTTTTGTCTACGGCCATTGATAGATTTTTCTTAGAAATTGAGAAATTATTGTTCGGAAAGAAAAGTTCCACTAACTTGATACTGGAAAATCTATTTTCTTTACAGTGTTTGATTGTTGCTTCTCCACTGAAATTATTGAAGATAACGAGTACAAGAATTATCTGGGGTTCATAGTTGCAGAGCTTCAGGATCATTTTCCTGACTCTTCATTTATGGTATGTAATTTTAGGGAAGGAGATAGGAAAAGCCATATCTCTGATATTTTATCGGAGTATGACATGACAGTCATGGACTACCCACGTCAATATGACCGTTGTCCATTGCTTCCATTGGAAATGATCCATCATTTTCTGAAGTCTAGTGAGAGCTGGCTGTCACTTGAAGGGCAGCATAATGTTTTGCTGATGCATTGTGAGAGAGGAGGGTGGCCTGTTCTTGCCTTCATGCTTGCAGGCTTTCTTCTTTACAGGAAGCAATACACTGGAGAGCAGAAGACCCTTGAAATGGTCTATAAGCAAGCTCCTAAGGAGTTGCTTCATCTCTTTTGTCCATTGAATCCACAACCTTCTCACCTGAGGTATTTGCAATACATAACCAGGCAAGCCGGGGGTCTGGAGTGGCCCCCTAAGGATAAACCCTTTTTCTTAAAATGCATCATTCTCAGCGTTGCTCCTCATTTTGATGGCAAGGGAGGCTGCAGACCTGTTGTTCGTGTTTATGGTCAGGACCCCCAAACTCCAACTAACAGGTCCTTAATGATTTTTTTTTCAACTCCAAAGAGCAAAGAACATGTTAAGCATTATAGACAGGTTCAGCTTGTTCTCAGTCGATTTAACTAATGCATGCATTTGTTAGCTCTATTAACATTGGTATATAATCACAGGAAGAGAGTGTTGTACTAATTGCCGGGTGTCATGTTCGCGGAGATGTCATTATTGAGTGTATCCATGTCGATGAGGATTTGGAGTGTGAGGAGATGATGTGCAGGATTATGTTTAACACTGCATTTGTTGAGTCTGATATGCTGCTTCTGAATCGTGATGAAATTGACGTGGCTTGGAATGCAAAGGATCTGTTTCCAAGAGATTTTAAAGCAGAGGTAGGTTCCTATATTTTGTTAAATGGGATTTCGTGTTCCTCTTATGGTTAAATTTGAAAGCACATTCATGCCTGAATCAGGTAATCTTTTCAGACTTTGATGCTGTTGAATCCAAAGCGACCTCAAAAGCAACAGCTAACGATGATGAAAAGGAAGGTGGTTCAACAGAGGAGTTTTTTGAGGCAGAAGAGATTTTTAACAACTCGGAAATGCATGTTGATACTCAGTTTCCTCACACTAAAAGTATCCTCGATCTCACTGGTCCAAAATCTGATGTTTTTGTTGTAGCTGATGATTTTGTGAAGAAATTACAAGGTACCTTTGATTCAGAGAATTCCAAGAATGTCATCCATGAAAAAATAAAAAGAGTTGATAGAATGGATGCATTGTTTGGACCCTCAATAATGGAAGATCAAGTGGGAGGCACATTTAAAGCGGGTGTTTCTGAACATGATGCTATTCCTGAAAAAATTATTAACCTGGATAATGTGATTGCACTTGAAGAGAAAAGAATGTCAGAAGGTAGCATTTCGATGAGGAAAACTGGTGCTTTTTTTTCAACATTTGAAGGAGAATCTACATCAAAATATGGCAATACTGAGCCCAAAACAATTTATGTATCAGAGATAACAAATCTTACACAAGCAAAAATTACTGTAGATGTCGCAGGTTGCAAAATGGAGAGCCTTTCACCTACAAATGAAGGAAATAGTAGAATGGATGTTAGTAGTGCTTCCCGAGAGAGTATGAAGAGTGCTATTCTTCTGAGAACATCCATTTTGGATGGAAGGGGCTGTAACGCAAGCGATGTATGTACTGTTGATCAAACACAGCAGCTGAATACAGGAGTTTGTAAGCGTCACACAAGAAATGACCTGAAGTTATATTCTGATGGCCGATTGGAAACCCCATACCTGGTTGGTCAAGCAGAAAATGGATCAGAAATTACCATCCATGATAAAGCAATTATTACAGAGAAGTTGATATCCTTAAATGAAGTGAATGGAGTTGAAGAGAATAATGTTGCAGAAATCAACTTAAAACAGGAAGGGCTTATAGTTCGTCTGCCCACAGAACAAAAGGGTCCAACAGAAACAACTTATCTGAAATTTGTTGTTGGTGCTTTCACCCATAAAAATTCTGACGATGATACTGTCGATAAACCGAACACCCTCATTTTGGACGCTGAAGCTAAGAATGCATTGGAAAAAAGTGATTTAAGAAATGATCTGGATAAAATTCCTATTTTTATGGAATCTATTAGCAGTGAAAAGACTCAATTGTTTAGTTCCAGAAGTGTTCTGAATAAAGAAATGCGTGTGCCTGGAAGTTCTGATTATAAAACTGGTAATGGCATTAAAGCTGATGAGCCACAGTCGCATACTGAGATGACAGGACGTGGTACTGAGATACAAAATAATGAGAAGGTTTTGCCATCCGTGCCAGAAAAAAACCTGATGCGAAACAGTCTAAAATGTGAACCTTTCATTGCCAAAGATAAATGTATTCGACAAGAAGATTCAATTTTACTCACAAATGCTTCCAAAACAAAACTCATACCTCGGTGGATATCCCCCAAAAAAACTTCTGATGCCTCATCAGTTCATTGGTCATCTAATCCTTTATTAAGGTATAACAGTTCACCAGCTGCTCTTGCCATTTCTTTTCATATAAATGATGAAAGGAGCAATACTAAGGATATTCTAGCGCCATGTGATTCCTTCAATGGGAATGATACTTTAATGGGCGGAGCACCGTCACCATCTCTTTCAGTAATGCTGCCTTCAAAACAGGACCTTGTTCATTTATTAACATCATGCCAGCATATATCAGCTTCATCTTTTCCGGTGCAACCTCCACTTTCATCTCCACGACCACCAGGAATGTCATCGGCGCAACAAGTTAGTCTCCACTCGAAGAAATCTTCCCCACCTCCACCCTTGAAGTCTGGAGCTGCTTTTCATGCATCATCTTTGTTTTCTATTACTTCTCAAATCTCATCAGATCATTGTTCTCAACCCTCTTTTCCTACCCTACGAACTGAAATAATATTCACTCCTTCCTCTAGAACTTCACCCCACTTGAGTGCTACTCCCTCTTCCAAAATTTCACCTCCAATTATAGCCTCACCTCCACCGCCGCCGCCGCCACCACCGCCACCACCACCACTACTGCCACCACCCCCCCATTTCTTGCCGCATGGATCATATGTGCAGGAATTTCATTCATCTCCTTATTTTCATGAAGCGCTTGACACACCCATCAAAGATCTACCTTCCACCCTACCTCCTTCAACTATGCATCCTTGCAAAGGAAAGACTAGCACACCTCCACCTCCACCTCCACCTCCACCTCCTCCCCTTCTTCCGCCACTCGCATTCACGAGAACTACCACAAAGCTCCCATCTACCCCCCCTCCACCACCACCAACATTATCAGGAGCATCCATCTACACCTCCGGCTCTCCTCCACCTTCTCCACTTTCTATATCTATAAACCAAAGCACATCGATGAACGCCATTCTCATGTCTCCAATTCCTCCACCATCCACGACTCTCTTAAGTTCATTAGGTATAGTTTCCCCGCCCCCGCCC